GCTCCCTGTGTGGGCATGGCAGGCAAGGTCTCACCAGCCAGAGCTCTTCTCACCACTCACAAAGGAGGAGGAAGAGCTGAGGGCAGTTCCATGTCCTTGTCTGTGGCACTGCTGAGGCTTCTCTGAGGTTGAGCTGAGGAAGAGAAGCAGGGTCAGGCCCAGTGAGGGTAACCAGGGTCAGATACAGCCTTGTGATCACTGAGTGGCTCCACAGTGACAAGGTCACTGAAGCCAAACTGGGAAGTCAGCCTGCAGGTGGTCAAGGTCCAGGACAGCAGGTCCCATGGCCAGGCACAAACAGGGCTGTGGTGTCACTGGGGCAGTGATAGATGGCCTTGAGAGTGTGATATGGGGTGCTGAACCATGGCCAGGGTGGGTGGGAGCCCTGGGAGTGTGGGCAGGGACAGGCAGAGCAGGCGGTGACCTCAGAGTAGGTCACTTTGGGCATTTTAAAGCTACTATGCATTGTCTAGTTTAAAGTAATTTTTTTGAATCCACCTTGTTACAAACAATACTTCTAGATAATAAAAAGTCAGACTTAAATCATAACCTCATATTGCTCATACTGTTTAGTTTTTGCCTCTCCTTCAGCCTAACTACAAACATATGTCCCAATGATCAAAAAAATGAACTTCATTTTCAAATACCAAGCACAAGTCAAGACTGCTAACACTGTAAAATGTTTGTTATAGGTTTTAAAAATGCTTCAATTCTGTTTTTAAATTAAACAATTCACCTTTTTTAAAGCTAAACTTGTGTCCTTGTGAAATTTGACTTGATAGTGCCAACATAACACAAAAAACGAATGTATAGAAACAAATGTTTTTATAAATAAATTAGTGACAAAAAGAGGTCTAAGGAGCATGTCCATCCTTTATCCAGTCACTGTCCTTGGAGGTATTTAAAAGCTGTGTAGATGTGTCACTTAGGGACATGGTTTAGTGTTGGGCTTGGCAGTGCTGGGTTAACAGTTGGACTCAATGATCTTAAAGGTCTTTTCCAACCTAAATGATTCTATGAACTTATTCAGCCTCTATCCCTGAAGAAAAGGACATGGTGTCATATTGGGTCACAAACCCAGAAGAAGTTAACAATGTTGCACTACTGCAAAAAAAGCAAACATTGTGCTGAGCGGTATGAAGGGAATTGCCAATGATAAAACAGGGGAAGTAAAGGCTTCCGTTGACTTAGGGCTGATGAAGTCTTGGCTGGAGTACCATGATCCACAGTGAGCACCCAGCAGTTACCATCAGTTGGTAATAGATCCACTACAGTTCTTGTTGGGGTGAGTCAGACATGATAGCCACCATAGAAAAAGTAGTTAATTGGATGTTTACATCAGGACATAGGAGGTCCCTTTCTTTTCTTCTAAACTGGTAGCCCTGGAAGCTAATTCCTCCCCAGTGTCACAGCAGGATATGGAGCTCCTAAACTCAAAAGTGGTTCAAGGGAGTCCACATCCTCTGATCAGCCATAGCCTAACAGAAGGTTATTTCCCAAGTTCTGTTCTTAAATATTTAAACAGAGTGAATAATCTTAATTAACTACTTCAGGAATAAAGAAATATACTTTCCTGTACTTACCTCTCCCTACTATTGGCTTGTCAAAGCAGGTTGTCAAGTCTCATTTATTGAAGCTTTTTAACACTAGGTTGAGATACAAAGGTACACTTGATGACCAGTTGTCCTGGTTTTGGCTGAGATGGAGTTAATTTTCTTCCTAGTAGCTGGTACAGTGCTGCATTTTGGATTTAGCAGGAGAATTATGCTGATAACACACTGATGTTTCAGTTGTTGCTCTGCAGTCCTTGCCCTAAGTCAAGGATTTTTCTTTTTCTTATACTCTGCCAACAAGGAGACACACAAAAAGCCCTGAGGGAGCATGGCCAGGACAGCTGTCCTGAGCTGGCCAACGGGATATTCTATACCATAAAATGTCATGTCCAGTATATACTGGGAGGAGCTGAGTGCTGCTCAGGAACAGGCTGGGCTTTGTTCAGTAAGTGGTGAGCAATTGTCTTGTGTACCGCTTGTTTTTTTCTGGGCTTTATCCCTCTCTTTTTGTTACCTCCCTTTTAATTACTATTGGAAGATTATATTTTACTTTACTTTGATTATCAGTCTTTTTTATCTCAGCCCCTGGGTTTTACCTTTTCCCAATTCTCCTTCCCACCCCACCAATGCAGGGGAGAGCAGGGAGCGAGTGAGCAGCTGTATAGTACTTAGTTGCTGGCTGGGGTTAAATCACACCGTAAGTGTTCCTTCTAGTCTTTTCCTAGGACTATTTCAAGTAGAGCCTAGGACTATTTCAAGTAGAGCTTTTCATATATCTTTAGTACATCTGAGGAGATTTGAGAGAGACAAGAAGTACGGGGGTGGGAGGAAATCATAGGTACTTACGAAACATCATGAGTAGGATTTTTTAAAGTGCAGTATATAGAAACCATTTGAGAAAAAGAATTAGGTGCCTGCCAGAAGAGCAAAGCCACTGTATTTTCTGTCAGAAACACGTCGATAATGCATGATGCTCACTAATAATTTGAATGTGGGCTAACATTTACAAAAATACCTGTATCAGGTACGCAGCCATTACAAATAATTCGGCCACTCACAAAAGATTTATTTATAGTCCTGTAATACAGCCTTATTATGCAATGCAGTCCTCTTTTGGAGACCTGTGACTGCATATGTAACCGATGAACATTACCCCTTTGGACTATTTTGAACTATTATTGCAGTTAAAATATTGTGAGGTCCTGGAAGAGCCATTTTAAAATTTCTCTTGCTCAGAGATTCTCTGCAAATGCAATACAAATGCTCAACAAAATTTGCAGGAGGGTATAAAGACTAGGAAGAAAAGCAATCACTAGCAGCAGACTCAGACAAATAAATCTGTACTAATCCCATTACGTGGTAGAATGTTCCGAGCCTTAAGTGGAAGATTCTACAGGTGACAGGAGACACTACTTTTTCTTGGTTTTTTGGTCTTCCTTTTGAGCTGAAAAGGTCTGCTGCCATTCTCACAACTCATTTATCTCAACAGATAGTTATGATTTAGTTTTTATTAGTGTTTGAACATAACAAAGAGAAATAAATTGTATTTGTAGGAAGGAGAAGTAAATTTGTACTTAAAGCACAATAGTAAACGGTTTCTGAAGCCTGATTACATAAAAAATATGTATATATCCCAGTGAACTTCACTTTAATTATCTGTTTCATTACATCCCTTTTGTAACAAGTGCAGGGCAAGTCAGGACAAGTGCTTAGCACGGGTCAGACCTCTGAGCAGGTACTCACAGTGATTGCAGTGACTTTTGGCATAAATCAAAGAGATTTTTTTATAGACAGTGTTGCAACATGAAGATAAAATATTGCATCAGGTTAGCATTCTATCAGCATGGTTTCAGTGTAGCCACAAGGAAAAGAAAAAAGATGTTTCTATGTTGCTTTTGAATTTTGTAACTGAGAAAGACCTGCAATGCTACCCCCGTATCCCTGATACCTATTGACAGTAATAATTAGGACTTGGGTGGGTGAGCAGGTATTTAGCTATCCAGACAAATCCAAGGAAGGTTGGATATTTAGTCAGAAAGGCTCCAGGTTTAAAGTTTTGAAGAAACTTCCTAGTTTTAGTTTACTGCTTTCCGTTAATACTGATATGATGGAGCAAGGGAGTTTATTTACTGAATTTTCTGCTGACTTGGAAATCAAGTTTCCAGAAATAGAGACTTGGAACCCTTCCAACTTTCCTTTGTCAGCTAACTGCAAATAAACTTTTAAGAGCTACTTAACAGAAAGTTCAGGAAAAGCCAGAGTCTGTGGGAGCTTCTTCTTCCTTTTTTTTTTTTTTTTTTTTTTTTAATAAAATGTGAAGTAATTATACAGATACAAGGCCTATGGATTAAATGTGAAGAGTAAGCTTGAAAGAGCCACAAAATTTTGATCTGTTTGTTGCTACTTGACAACAGAAACCAAACCCTTCTAAATTAATCTTCTAGTCACGCATTTCATGAAGCATAATTTATCCACAAGGACTATGGCATTCGTATGGAAATTATCTTTGCTTACATACATGAATATAGAGGAATAAGGCCACAGTCATACCGTACACAAGGGGTTGTATGCAAAGAATTTCAGAACATATTGCAAACAAATGTTAGGGCTAGCAGTACAAACCAGCTGAACACCTGCTCTGCTCCAGTGCTCTCCATCCTGACCAGGCACAACCTCAACCACCACAGCTGAAGCCAACACACAGCTAATTACATCAAACATTTGCTCCTGACCGTACGAAGCTATGCAGCCCGTCCCCTTCGGGAAAGATTGGATTTCATGGCCATTTAAATTGCAGAAGGAAAGTGAAACTTGACTGTTGTTGGAGCGCAGAGGCCCAGCTCCCGCGTGTGGCCGCGCCCAGGGGACTCAGCTGGGGCGCGGGGTCGCGGCCGGGCGGTGTCACGGCGCGGTGCTGACAGCGCTCCGCGGCGCTTCCCCGCGTGGGTACCGCGGCTCCTGCGCCAAACCCGGCGTGACGAGGGAGACCCGCGGCTGCGATTCCCCCTCAGCAGGTGATCGCAGACCGGCCTGTTCCTCAGGGCGGCCCGGAGCGGCTCTCTGCAGCGCTAAAAGGCAGCGCAGCCCGCACCCCCTGCACCCGCGGGCAGGGCCGGGCAGGGCCGCGGGTCCGCACTCCTGCCCCCCCTCCCCCCCGCACCTGGGCGGCCGCCCGGGTATACGCGGAGCTGCCGGTGACTCAGCGGCGCCCCAGTGACCCTCTCCCGGTGGCGGCGTCTCGCCGTGGCTCTGCCCCCTCCCTCTCTCCCTCCCTCCCTCCCGGCAGGATCATCCCACCCCGCCGGGCGGTCACCTCGGCAGGAGGAGCCGCCACTTCGCCTCCGCTCCCGCAGAGACCTGACGGCAGCGAGCCCCGCCGCTCCGCGCCATGCAAGCAGGGAAGGCAGCCGAGAGCAGGCAGAACGCCGGCCGGCCCCTGCAGCTCACCATGAAGAGGGGCTACGAGGTGCTCCGCGACCCCCACCTCAACAAGGTAGGGGCGGGCAGGGCAGGTGCCGCGGGTGCCGGGCGATCCTGCCGGGCGCTGCCCGCCGAGCCGGAGGCCTCTCGCCGCCGCCACCTGTCAGCGCCCGGGCCGCCCCCGCTCAGCGGCCGCCGGGCCGGGCCGGGCTGGGCCGGGGGCGGCGGGCGCGGGGCAGCGGCACTTCCTGCGGGCTCGGAGCCGCTTCCTCTTCCCTCGGGGCGGCGGGGGGCGGCCAGCACCCCGTCCTCACCCGCACCGCCGGCCCCGGGGCGCGGAAACATCCCCTCTGTGTCCTCCGGAGAGGGGAGGGGGGAGCAGCAGCCCGGGGAGGAGGAGGATGCTGCTGAAAGTTAAGCCGCTGTGATGCGAGTTCCTGCTGCCGTGCTTCTCTTTTTCCCGGTACCCTCCTTCTTTTCCAGTCCTCTTTCCCACGGATACCCCATCCCGTTTCCTGCGGGCAAACCCGGCTATTCGTGCTGTCCAACCTTTTTTCCCCTGGAAGGTGGAAAATGGGTTTTATCGCCCCTATTCCTCTTGGAGCTGTAACATGCCACTGCAGTTTCCTCCCTGCTCTGCATCAGCGAATGCAGCTAGCTCTTCTAAGAGATGCCATAGCACAGCAAAACCTTTTTGCCACATCTCCAGTTTGCTTAAGAATGGTAATTCAGCTCGATAAAACTTTCTAAACCTGTAAGACTAATCTGGAAAAAATAAAGCCGAGTAAGTGTTTGTGCAACTTACAAAGATGCAAAGTTCAGATAGTATAATAGATAAATTGGCATGACCAGCTCTGAATTTGCTGCCAAAATGAAAAATAGTCAAAAAGGTAAATCATAAACCACACCGAGCACGTGAAACTTTGGTCAGACCCTTAGCCCCAAATTTCACCTTGCACATTAGCTGTATAAGTCAGAGTACCATTACATCTGCATTAGAATATATATACAGTAATTTTACTTATTTCTGAGTTGAATAAATTGACAAAAAACCTGTTTCTAGTTTTACTGGAGAGGTTGGCTCATCACTAAAAGCTCCATATATTAGTTAGATGAATAGTGCTTTTATTAGTCTTGGTGCTTGACTACAAAGTTTCCTTAGAGGCTCTTATGTGTCTCTGTGTGTATGTATGTGTGTATGCCTGAGAAGGTCTCCTGAGGTCAGATTAAAGGAAAATTAACCGAACTATAAAACTCTCAAGAAGAAACCAAGGAAAGCTGTTTTGCTTTTACAGCTGGGTTGCTTTTAAGCAGCTGTAATATTCACAGAAAAAGTCTGATTCAGCATAACCAGGAAGGCCAACCCAACAGAAAACCCACTTGGTTTTAAGAAATAAAATGAAGCTTATTCTAAAATAAAGGGCAGTCAGGGACAGGCTCATTGCTACTGTTTTCCTCTCACACATTATACATCTTGCCTCTGAACACTATACCTTGAGGGTGGGTCAGACAAGGCGCTAAAGAGGAAGAGCTTTGCTTAATTTTAAGTTACAGTAGGTAGGACTTACAGAATACTCTGAGTTGGAAGGGGCACACAAGGATCACCAAGTCCAGCTCTTAAGTGAATGGGAATCAAACCTGCAACCTTTGTGGGTTAGCTCCATGCTCTTCCTGGATTAGGCTTTATACTTTCACACCTTCTAAACTGTAGTATAGCACATACATACCATAGAGCAGAGAAGCAGGAAAAAATAGTTGTTCATCACCAACCACATCTACCCAGTGAACAGAATTCAGTGTTAGAAATGCTTAGCTGAAAAATCTGGTCCTGGTCTGGTGAAGAATAGGTAATCCAGTTTTCTGACTGAAACAGGTGATTTTTTTTTTTCCTTGTGGATGTGAAAGTATTACACCCTAATATATATATATGGACACACCCTAATGTGTATATATTTCATTGCCATATATATGCACTAAGTTCAAATATGTTGAGTACTGCCATCATGGTTGCCAGTTTGATAGCTCCTGGCCTGCCTGCATGGATGGAAGCTGGTACTTCCAGTTCACTTTCTGTTGCCAAGGCTGTTAAACAATCATCAGGTTGCTGAGAATTCAATTTGAAGGAGATAAAATATTTCCTTTAATGATTCTGAAGTACAGGGATTGTTTGCAGTCCTGCAAGGTGCCAGAACTTTCTACTGCCTCCTGGGCCCTGTCAAGGAGTTGCAGTTTCTCAGAATAAGCATTTTCTTTTGGATATAGTGCCAGTTTTAATAGTCCTATTGGCAAAAATAGACTGTAGGTACTAAATAATGATATCTAGCAGTAACTCATAGAAAAATAAGGTGAATTATGTTTTCAGAGTGTCTTAAGATAGATGGCTTGTCCAACAGGTAAAACGTATGCTGCAATATGTGAAAGCTTGGGGCTTGCATCCTTAAATATACATTCCTTTTCTCAGAAAAGTTGAAAATTTTACATGGAACCATTTATACTCGGACATCTTTGAAAATAGATGTAAGAAAAAATAATTGTTGAAATTTAAACAAACCAAAAAATCCAGCGAACAAAAAAGCACAAAAATCCAAACCCCTATCTCTGTTTAGGTGTTCCATCTAGGTACCCCACTTGTCCAACAATAAAGCTGGATTTCTGCATGCTTGTACATTGCTTTTTTGTACTCAGCCTGGTGAGAGGTGAGAGAAAGGGCTGTGGCAATTCCAGGGTAAACACCCAAATTTCTTATTTTCTGTTTGAACTCTATTTATGCTTGGATGGCAAAATTTCTAGAACCTACTAAGCACTGAAGTATGTTGACGCCCTAAGTAATGCCATTCCTAAATCCTTTATGTTTTACTTTTTTAGTCATTCACAAATATGTACAAACTTCACTGGAGAAAAGCTTAATAAAAAATGTTTGGTGGGTTTGTGATTTATTTATTTATTTATTTATTTGTTCCCCCCCCATACTAAAGTGTTTTGGGTCACTGATTGGTTTGTAGTTTGCCATCTCAGCAGCAGTGATACATCAAAAATCATGAGGAGCAGTAGATCATAACTCACTGAATTTAATTACTTGAGGACATGTGTCCAAGTCCAGGGACAATAATTGTGATTCAGTTTATTGTAAGAAATTTTAGGTCCTTAGTGTTTAAAAGTGTATTTAGAACGTCTTTGGTAGTTGTCTTTTTCCCTCAGGAAGCTAAACACATTGCAAATAGTAATTACAAGGAAAACAAACATAGTTTCACTTCTTTTCCCTGAAATAGACTGCGTTAGAAATCTTTGGCTGGGAATTGTATGCTCTTGAAGCTGATGAGCTACAGAAGTGTGGAAGTAGTTTATTCTATCCCTACTATAAATCTCATGCTTTATTCAATGTATGAGTTTACAATTTTAAAGCACACAATTTTTTTTGCCTTATAATATTTGAAGAAATCATAGTGTTTGTTCCATAAGTTGCTTATTTTCAAAATCTCAGTGTGAAGATACACAAACACACAGTTCAGTACAAAACTTTGCCAATAGCCTGTATGAGCTGCCAAGTCTAAACACTTCCCTGATTGAGAAACTTTGCCATTGGAGAAGTGCTTTGCTTCCAGGCTGCGTTTGTATTCTTGCAGAGCAATTCACTGGATCCCTCAGAAGAGGCAGAAGAGTGGAGAATGCCTCTAGTGAATAATCCATTCCAGGATGAGGAAATGAGCAGTTTATTAGAGGGTTATTAAGATATTAAAGCTTGTCTTTCCTATCAGATTACACATGCAGTGTGTACTAATTTAATAAAAATCAATTATAAGCTTTTTAGAGAGAATTATGGACTTCATATTTTGCCTCTACATTTCAGACAGTGGGAGAAGAATACTCATGAAATACAGATATATTTTGTTCTGTATACAGCTAAAATAATGGCCAGTCTTCGCGAGCGAAGATCCGGGGAAGGTCTTTCCACCTTCCAGCCTGCGCATTGGATTTTTTAGGTGAGACACAGTGTGCGCGGAACTGAGCCCACCCTTTAATCCTAAGGTTCATCTGCCGGGGCCAAGCGAGCTTGGACGGTGGCAGCGAGGTCCTTAGGACGTAGGTGGATTGCCTTTAAGGGCTAACGAGCCCCACCTGCCCGGGAGTGGCCCTGACCGGGAATCGAACCCGGGTCTCCGCGGTGATAGCGCGGCGCCTTTACCACTAGACCAGCAGGGGCTCCTGTATACAGCTAGTTGCCTCACTAAAATCAAATTTGATCTTGAGAAAGTGTAAAGCTATGATTGGTGTGGGTGACATATAAAAAAGGTTTTATGACTTTTGATGTTAGTTGATGATGCCGTAAGAGGCCTCAAAAAACTCAAACCTTGGTAAAAAATCAGAAGCAGTCCAGTGAGATTTTCTCAATCTGATGGGTAAAATAAGTATTTAAGAAGCTCCTCTAAATAAATCCAATTCTTTATCAAATACCAAGCAGCAGAAGTATTTTTTTTCTTCCATTGGTAATATTCATATTTTCACATGTTAAACATGTATGTGCTTTGGCTGGGTCCTCTGGAGTGGCCTTCACTGAGTGTTGCTTTTGCCTTAGCTGTAGGTAGCTATTCTGAGAAGAAGGGTGATGAAGCTGGGGATGGAGGAGGAAAGCACTCTGTAAATGGCATATTAGAAGTATCTATACTAATTTGTAAAATAGGTTTTCTGGAGATTACTTTGTATTGCAAGGGATGATTTCATATTAAGTGGTAATAGGTATGATAGTGTTCTTTAGAGGTGAAGATTGTCAGCTCCATGTGAAAGTAAAGGTATAATTTGAGGATTTTTTTTTTTTTTTTGTATTGTTGCTTATCACTCTCCCTATCTTCTACTTTCTTTAAATTTTTAACAATAATAGTTCTTGGTTCTATCCCTGTCAGATTACCTAGCAGATCAGTTCTGGTCTTGACGGGATAAGAACATGTGATTTTTCTGGTCTTTGTCAAGAGTACATGGTATAGAGGTTGTACTAGCATAAAAATAAAGAAAGAAAGAAATAAAGAAATAAAAAATTAGTCTGGTCTTTGAAACCTTTTAGACCTTCTACACTGGAGTTGCTGTTCTGTGGAATGGCACTCTAAAATGGGAGTTTCTTCAAGTGTGAGGTTGGTTTGTACCAGAACTCTTTGCTCTATGGCATTCAGGACCATAAGTGTCAGACTGGCAGAACTGCAGCCACCTTGTTTGCTTGGGTTTTGGGCAAGGGTGTGAGCTCAGCAGTGGCTCTCTGGTGGGTACCACGGGGCTGAGTGAGGAGCTTGTCACATTGGCATGTATTCTTCCTTCTTGTAATCACCTTCCTAAGGTGTGAGAGAGGAGCTGTGATGCAAGATGTCTTTTGTATGAGTGCCTTTGTTTACAGTATGTGTGCAGGGGGGTTAAAACTCAATCCTCTGCTTTTCTCCAGCATTCTTACTTTAAGGCAGCTTTGTCCTGCATACTGTTAATAATGAAAAATTATTGGGAAAAGCACAAAGTATGTCAGTCAGACTATTTTACCTCTGTCTTCTATTTCATGTATATAGCTTACAGTGTTCTTTGCCTCCAATAATTTGCTCCTGACCTAGTAGGTAAGTTTTTGTGGTTGGTGTTACAGTCTTTTCTTCCTGTTGGCCTCCAGTTCTTTGCTTCCAGTTATGAAAAAGAGTGCTGAGACAGAGTTGGGAACAAAGTTCTGTGACTTGAACTA